CCCGTGATATTTCTGAGACCAGTGCTGCGCCACTGTAAAAGATTTATCAAAAAAATTATATTTGTATTCTTTCAAAATTAAAATGATAGTCAAGTCATCATAATGTAATATTTTAATGAACTGAACTAAACATTCATAAAAATTTAATTTCATATATTATTTAAATGATGACCTCGAAATGAGCATTTTGGTACATTAATTGCATTTGAAATGGAGTCAGTCCCATACGAGATTCGATCGCAAGTGTATATGGACATAACAAATTTGATATATAACGCTCGGAACGAGCTACATATATTAGATCAAGGTCCATGCCCATCTCCTGAATATTGATTAGTTTTATGAAGAGAATTAACGCTGATTAAGTGCAATGTAATTAATGAAAATTAAGACTGATTAAAGCTAGTTACAATACCCAATAAGAAGAATGTTATGTTGATTAAAATAAATAATAATCTATAATTTTTAAAACTTTGTTTCATTTATCGATAAATGGTTGTTTCAACACTATGCAAAATATTAAATAAAAGTTCCTGGCGCTGGAGACACTCCACGGCAACTAAAGCGTGGCGGTGAAAGGGTTAATATATATCATTTCCGATAAAACCGGTAACTATAACTGGGCCCCCTAGCTATGGGTCTGTTGCGTTCGTGAAAACAAATTTTGGTTATGGGTTGGTTTAGGGGACCTTTTAGCTTAGCGGTCGTCTAACTATGTGATTGTTTAGGGGATGTTGGTGAAATTGGGCATGAGACAATTTGTAAAGATGCTAGTGTGCGTGAAAAATTATTGTATATGCCAGCAGCTTAACTATTACCCGATTAACGGGAAAATTTATTTTATGCTATGGCTTAGTAGTTAAATTCATAGTTATGAATGTATTCCAGAAATACTTAAAAATGAATAGTTTATTAATAACGAATGTATCAATATATTTGTGTATATTATAGTATAGGTTTTTCTTCTGAATAAATGACATATAAATGATAAGGCCTCATTTTTCTCTCTTCCCCTCTCCACCTCAGATAATCCTATAATATTGCAGCGCAACTTATCTATCTCTTCTTCCAGCTTCAGGATCTCCTCGTCGGTCGTCAGTGTACGTGCGTTATATGTAGCCAGGTGGAGTCGTCTTAGTTGGCAACCAAAGCTCCACCGGAGATCCTTAGCACCCCCTGCCCCGCCGTTGCCATGGTTGCCACCGTAACCAGCATATTTACCGTGCCGGCTACCCGCGATCCACAGCTGTCACACAGTTTTCACCTCACCTCATTTGGCCAAGAAAAAAGTTCTTTTCCACCAAGACAATGCAAGGGTGCACACATGTGCAGTTGCCATGACAAAAATCCTTGAATTGGGCTATGAATTGCTCCCTCATCCGCCCTATTCTCCAGATTTGGCTCCGAGTGACTACTTCTTGTTCCCAAACCTGCAGAAATGGCTTGGTGGAAAAAGATTTGACACCAATGATGAAGTCATCTCGCAAACAAAGGCCTATTTTGAGGACCTCGACAAATCATATTTTTTGGAAGGGATAAAAAAAATTGGAGAAGCGTCGGACAAAGTGTATAGAGCTCAAGGGAGACTACGTTGAAAAATAAAATGATTTATTTATCAAAAAATCTGTGTTTTATTCCAAAAGTCACGGACTTATTGACCCACCCTCGTATATCTATATCTATATATTATATCTAGGCGACGGAGGAAATAAACCAGGAGATGGGCAGCAGCGTCTTCCTAATAACAAATTGAAATAAAAAACCGCGGTTGCCTACCCACCTGCATGCCAACTATGGCAAATATCCCCACTATGAGTCAATCCGTGGGGAGGCCTATGTTAGGCAGCGGACTTTTATAGGCTGTAACGGTAACGATAAACATCGAAACGAAATAAGTAAGACATCATTTAAATTTTAAAACAAAAGGAAGATATGGTTTGTTTCCACTAATCACTCTATACATATTTCAAGGTTCGATTTCACTTGGTTGCTTCTTTGGTTTTTGAATTAGCTTCTTCAGAATAAATGCAGTTTCAATTAGCACATATGACACGGAAAGGTTTTTCTACTCGTTCTACAGTTACATAAGGAACTTAAACAAATGAATTTTTATCTAGTATACTTTTATATTTATATAAAACACGTTACATTACATAATATTGCACATATTTTACCAGATCTCTCACGAAAAAGGTTCTGCTCAAGTGTGTGTTTTCATATGCCTTTGCAAATGACTTTTTCGAATACATTTATATTTACAGATATGACACGAAAAAGGTTTTTCTCCAGTATGTATTTTCATATGCCTTTGCAAAGTACTTTTTTCTATACATTTATATTCACAGATATTACATGAAAAAGGTTTTTCTCCAGTATGTATTGTCATATGTGTTTGCAAATTACTTTTTCGAATACATTGATATTAACACATATGACACGAAAAAGATTTTTCTCCAGTATGTATTTTCATATGTGTTTGCAAACTACTTTTTTGAATACATTGATATTTACACATATGACACGAAAAAGGTTTATCTCTAGTATGTATTTTCATATGCCTTTGCAAATCACTTTTTCGAATGCATTGATATTTACAGATATGACACGAAAAAGGTTTTTCTCCAGTATGTATTTTCATATGCCTTTGCAAAGTACTTTTTCTATACATTTATATTCACAGATATGACACGAAAAAGATTTTTCTCCAGTATGTATTTTCATATGTGTTTGCAAACTACTTTTTTGAATACATTGATATTTACACATATGACACGAAAAAGATTTTTCTCCAGTATGTATTTTCATATGCCTTTGCAAATCACTTTTTCGAATGCATTGATATTTACAGATATGACACGAAAAAGGTTTTTCTCCAGTATGTATTTTCATATGTCTTTGCAAACTACTTTTTCGAATGCATTGATATTTACAGATATGACACGAAAAAGGTTTTTCTCCAGTATGTATTTTCATATATGTTTGCAAACTACTTTTTTGAATACATTGATATTTACACATATGACACGAAAAAGGTTTTTCTCCAGTATGTATTTTCATATGTGTTTGCAAATAACTTTTTGTAATGCTTTTATATCCACAGATATTACACGAAAAAGGTTTTTCTCCGGTATGTATTTTCATATGTTTTTGCAAGTCAACTTTTCTAATACATTTATATTCACAGATATTACACGAATAACGTTTTTCTCCAGTATGAATTTTCATATGATACCGCAAATTACTTTTATCAATACATTTATATCCACAGATATTACACGAAAAAAGTTTTTCTCCAGTATGTATTTTTATATGTCTCTGCAAACGATCTTTTTTAATACTTTTATAATCACAATTATTACAACAGTACACTTGTTCAGCAACATGCGCTTTAAGATGTGCCAAAATGCAACGTTTTTGAGTTGTTTTAAATTCGCAAATATCACAATTAAATATTTCCGTTACTTGTGGTACTGGAGTTTGTTCAACTTGTGTCCGAACTGCAGTGGTGTTCTTTTGCGTCTTATGACTGTATGAAATGTGTTTGGCGAGAATGTCTTTTGTTGAAAATTTTTTGCTACAACCATCACATTCAAAAATGTATTTTGTTGATGCCCCTGACGTTTTTTTCGTAAGTATATTTACACCCTTTTGTTTCAATATTTTCTTTCTCATAATATTTGCAGGATGCTTTGCTTTTTTATTAATTGGTTGATTATCTTTTTTGACTTTAGGCTTTGATTTAATAGTAGGGCTTTCTAAATCAAGGTTTCCTTTACGAACATCGTTTATGTTACAATCAGTAGAATTTGATTTAATCTTGCTCTCAGACGCTTTTGAAAAATGATTTGTCGGTATGATGTATGCTTCTGAAATACACACGAATTGAACATTTAATTTATTATAAGTAAAACTTTTTATTGTAAGACACCTTAAACGCATTCTCTATCAGTCAACTACTTTTTCGAATGCATTGATATTTACAGATATGACACGAAAAAGGTTTTTCTCCAGTATGTATTTTCATATATGTTTGCAAACTACTTTTTTGAATACATTGATATTTACACATATGACACGAAAAAGGTTTTTCTCCAGTATGTATTTTCATATGTGTTTGCAAATAACTTTTTGTAATACTTTTATATCCACAGATATTACACGAAAAAGGTTTTTCTCCGGTATGTATTTTCATATGTTTTTGCAAGTCAACTTTTCTAATACATTTATATTCACAGATATTACACGAATAACGTTTTTCTCCAGTATGAATTTTCATATGATACCGCAAATTACTTTTATCAATACATTTATATCCACAGATATTACACGAAAAAAGTTTTTCTCCAGTATGTATTTTTATATGTCTCTGCAAACGATCTTTTTTAATACTTTTATAATCACAATTATTACAACAGTACACTTGTTCAGCAACATGCGCTTTAAGATGTGCCAAAATGCAACGTTTTTGAGTTGTTTTAAATTCGCAAATATCACAATTAAATATTTCCGTTACTTGTGGTACTGGAGTTTGTTCAACTTGTGTCCGAACTGCAGTGGTGTTCTTTTGCGTCTTATGACTGTATGAAATGTGTTTGGCGAGAATGTCTTTTGTTGAAAATTTTTTGCTACAACCATCACATTCAAAAATGTATTTTGTTGATGCCCCTGACGTTTTTTTCGTAAGTATATTTACACCCTTTTGTTTCAATATTTTCTTTCTCATAATATTTGCAGGATGCTTTCCTTTTTTATTAATTGGTTGATTATCTTTTTTGACTTTAGGTTTTGATTTAATAGTAGGGCTTTCTAAATCAAGGTTTCCTTTACGAACATCGTTTATGTTACAATCAGTAGAATTTGATTTAATCTTGCTCTCAGACGCTTTTGAAAAATGATTTGTCGGTATGATGTATGCTTCTGAAATACACACGAATTGAACATTTAATTTATTATAAGTAAAACTTTTTATTGTAAGACACCTTAAACGCATTCTCTATCAGTCAACTACTTTTTCGAATGCATTGATATTTACAGATATGACACGAAAAAGGTTTTTCTCCAGTATGTATTTTCATATATGTTTGCAAACTACTTTTTTGAATACATTGATATTTACACATATGACACGAAAAAGGTTTTTCTCCAGTATGTATTTTCATATGTGTTTGCAAATAACTTTTTGTAATACTTTTATATCCACAGATATTACACGAAAAAGGTTTTTCTCCGGTATGTATTTTCATATGTTTTTGCAAGTCAACTTTTCTAATACATTTATATTCACAGATATTACACGAATAACGTTTTTCTCCAGTATGAATTTTCATATGATACCGCAAATTACTTTTATCAATACATTTATATTCACAGATATTACACGAAAAAAGTTTTTCTCCAGTATGTATTTTTATATGTCTCTGCAAACGATCTTTTTTAATACTTTTATAATCACAATTATTACAACAGTACACTTGTTCAGCAACATGCGCTTTAAGATGTGCCAAAATGCAACGTTTTTGAGTTGTTTTAAATTCGAAAATATCACAATTAAATATTTCCGTTACTTGTGGTACTGGAGTTTGTTCAACTTGTGTCCGAACTGCAGTGGTGTTCTTTTGCGTCTTATGACTGTATGAAATGTGTTTGGCGAGAATGTCTTTTGTTGAAAATTTTTTGCTACAACCATCACATTCAAAAATGTATTTTGTTGATGCCCCTGACGTTTTTTTCGTAAGTATATTTACACTCTTTCGTTTCAAAATTTTCTTTTTCATAATCTTTGCAGGATGCTTTCTTTTTTTATTAATTGGTTGATTATCTTTTTTGACTTTAGGCTTTGATTTAATAGTAGGGCTTTCTAATTCGAGGTTTCCTTTACGAACATTGTTTTTGTTACAATCAGTAGAATTTGATTTATTCTTGCTCTCAGACACTCTTGAAAAATGATTTGTCGGTATGATGTATGGTTCTGAAATACACACGAATTGAACATTTAATTTATTATAAGTAAAACTTTTTATTGTAAGACACCTTAAACGCATTCTCTATCAGTAAACCAGGGAGAAATAGATAAATTATAAAATTACATAATTATACAATGTTGCTAGATATAAAGTATTTTACTTTTAATAATGTCTCTCATATTCATTTTTGGAGGGAAAGAATGGTAGAGAAACTAAATTCGAATGATAATGATGACGTTCTTCTCACCATGTTACAATTACCTACATTAATCTAATAATAGATCCTTCGAATCGCACACGGGACAAGCATTATACAGAATGATTGGAAGATTGACTTGTTGATTGAAGAAGATCATTTAGGCCATAGTTATTTTAGACAAAGTCTGACTATACTTTTTGTTTTTGGTGATAAAACAAAATTTTTACAGTTAATTGCTAATAATTGCCAATTTAATTAACGTCCGTTTTTTTTTAATTTAAGTAATGAATAAGAAATCTAAGAAAACATAGTCTCAGCATCTGTGTCATCAGACATATTTTTGTACAGACACTAAGTTCACGAAAATTTTCTACGATTTAAAGAAACATAATTAACATTTTAAATAATAAACATTATTGACACTACGTTAAAAAAAAACTGATGGTACTTTAATTTATTGTTAGAACCTTTTTGAAAACATGCTTGGTTATTACTCTATCATTTGAGGTATAACTTACACACATTTGTTACAAATTTTTCAATTGTCCCCTAAAACCAGATTGAGGTAGAAAATTTAAATTTTTAGGCAGACTAATAAAAATTCTAATTATTTATTTGTTGATGCTCAAAATAATTGATGCGATTACTAACACAAGCACGGGCCCGTCGTCTCACTTCTGTTGTAGTTACTTTCAACATCATGGTTTCAAATGCTGAATTAATTCTTTGAAATTCCGGCCATATAGCTCGAAGAAATGACAATGAATGAGGAAGTTTTACAAGTGGCAGCCTCGTATCAGTAGACAAAGTGTAGGGCGGCCCTCCATTAGATGGAATGATGACCTGGTAAGAAATGCAGGAAGGCGATGGATTCCTGTACTTTGTGGCATTCCGTGGGTGAGACCTATGTTCAGCAGTGGTCTTGTGAAGGCTGTAATGATGAAGATTTAATGATGCAATGCGTTCCTCTTTTAATTTTAATTTTTATAGGATACGGTGACAAACGAGCACAACAATAGACCAATAGACATCTACATCTGTCCTCAATAAAGAATCAAAATGCAGATGCATTGTCACCTATGAGGACTACGATGAAATCCCTCTTTTCCAGTAAAAAAGGTATCCATTTCTCTACAATCACCATACGAAACACAGCAGTGTTAAGCTGCTATTTTACGCTGGTATTCTGTGAGAGCATGGTCCTTCCCCGGTCGAGCCAACCCATTCGTGCTATAACTATACTACTAATATAGCTGCAGCATGGATCTACCACAACTAAAATGGAATGACCAACAGCCTGTGATTATTCTGACTCTATCAGAATGGAACACAGCAGTGCACGCACTGCTATTTGACGTCAGAAATAGGTAAGAGGAGGAGGGAGGAGTCCATCTGGGCAGGCACAAATAGATCAACTCCTAGGCAAACATGGAGTCACACCACCTAGTACTGACACTAGGATGGCAAAGATAATTGGTTGCTTACCAGTGTGTATCGTAGTGACATACATACTGGCTGCATTTATATAGGGTCAAAATATTTTTTTAAATGTATTAATAAGAGTGCTTTTGACACGCACTGAACTTTGAACATGACATGAATTTAGACAAAGGCAAATCAGTGAATCAAAACATTATTCATGAAGCCCTCTTTATTTTGTGTCTACGGGCTACAGTAACCACTTGCCATAAGGTAAATTGTACCTTATTTTAATAATATCAAGAAAAGGGGTATATCTTACCTGTTTCATTATTCTCATTTTCTTCAAATTTGGAATTCTCATATTCGAAAATCTCTTCCTCAACTTTAACGGCATCAAGGCAAAAAATTTCGTCCTTGCAATCATTGTCTATATCACTAGCTACAGGCCAGATATCTATATGATAAATTGGTGTAAATTTAATCTCATCTCTAACCTTATGCGGTTTTGGTATTGACTGAAAGGAAATAATTTTTTCAAATAAGAGAAAAAGCCACTATAGTGGTGGAGTAGGAGAACCCATACTACCCCCTGCCATCCCGCAGATGTCGTAAAAAGGGGCAGAGGGAAACTGAAACAGGAGATCGGGGGGCAGCATCTTCCTGACAACAACTTCAAATAATAATAAACACCGGACAAAAGTGAGGGTTCAGCGTAAACTTAAATAGGAATGTACATAGTTCATCTATCCCGAGAATCGAGTCTCAACAATTATTGGATTCAGATTCAAGAAAGCTGTAAATTGACAAAGATTTATGTTTGTTTATTGAGATTTGTTTATATACAATAGGGTAATACACTCAGCGTCACAAAAATCGCACCTCTCTGTTTGGCTAGAAACGAATTATATTTATATAAATATTGGTATGTTTCAAATGGGTATTGGAATAGCTTTACATTATTAATAAAAAAATCATGAAATCATTAAAACATTTATCATTATAGAGCGTCAAAAATAAACACTGTCAAATGCTCGTTAGTAAGGATGCTAGTTACACCACCTAAAGAGGGTATAAAAGGGTCGATCTGGATGAAATATGGGTCAGTCGTAATTTAGACTTTGCATTGAACACACGTGAACAAGTAACCCCAGTAAGCCGCTCAAGTGATTGCCCTATTGCAGTTGGGGATGCGGCAGTGTGACGTTGCTCGACAGTTGAACCTGTCCCGTTTTTCAGTTCGACGGGTGTTCCAACGTTTTCAGCAGACTGGTGGTTATGTTAGAAAACCGGGATCTGGAAGAAAACGGTGCACATCAGAAAGAGATGACCGTTTCACCGTTACGACATCTTTACGAAACCGTTTTACAAATGCTGTTGAGTTGCAACAACAGCTTCGATCAACTCTGAGAACATCTGTGAGTGTTTCTACGATAAGAAGAAGGTTACACGAAAAGAGTTTAACAGCCCATAGACCTGCTAAAGGTCCAAAACTTACTGCACAGCATCGCAGAGATCGCCTAGAGTTTGCTCGCAATCATTGCGAGTGGACTCTAGAACAGTGGCGGACCGTACTCTTCTTTGATGAGACGAGGGTCTGTCTCTTCTGCAATGACAGATGTAGAAGGGTCTACAGAAGACAGGGGGAGAGGTTCACACAACCCTGCTTCGAACAATCCGTCGAATACGGGGGTGGCTCGTGTATGTTTTGGGGCGGCATTTCCGTCGACGGGAAAACTGAACTTGTGTGCGTTTCCCGGACTCAGGGTGGCCGTGGGCAAGGGTCATTAAATGCTGGTCGGTACATTACTGAAATCCTGGAGGAACATGTGGTCCCGTATGCTGATTATGTCGGTGATGGATTTCATGTTAATGCATGATAATGCTCGTTGCCACACGGCTATTGTACGGGATTATTTACAGGAGGTCGATATCCCTGTTATCTATTGGCCAGCACGAAGTCCAGACCTTAACCCAATAGAACATCTCTGGGATGACCTAAAACGGCGCGTGCGAGCTCGAGATCCAGCTCCAACCACTCTTCAAGAGCTCCAAGATGCGGTACTTGAAGAGTGGGAACAAATACCCCAAGAGGCTGTTGCGACCCTTGTAAGGTTCATGAAAGATCGCATGGAAGCCGTTATCAAGGCAAGGGGGGGTAACACTAGGTTTTAAGAACTTTTTTTGTATTTATTAAGATTTTTTAAAATTATTAATTTGCAAATTTGTACATACCCTGTCTTTTTCTTTAATTTCTCTTTCGTCTCGTTATAAAAGTAAAATTCAATTAAAATTCCTAAAAGCTAATGAAATTACCTTTCGAATGATACCCTCAAACCACAACATTGCCATTGGCCTGTTGTGTTAAAATAGTATTTATTATTTTTTTTCGGATGTGCGTTTTTTTTTGACGCCGAGTGTATATAACAGTATAAACAGTTTGATAATTGTTTTTGTAAAAATAAGTACTATTGCTCTAACAAAAGTAAGTTGGATTGAAGGACAAACTTAACTTTGCACTAGAAACATTCTCCCATATAGCAATGGTAAGCAGCATAGAAAAGTGGATCATGCAGTGACGGTGTAAGAATATCCACTATCACAGGGTTGGCAACCTTTCATATATATATATATATATATATATATATATATATATATATATATATCTGGAAGACTATTCCATGCGTCAAATATAACTCAACTCGCAGCATTTCTTTTAAAGCTGTTCATTTTTATTGCGTTACGT